CAGAGAATAATAGTTACAAAAAGAAATTTTTAAAAAAGAAAAAAAAAGTAGTAGAAAGTTTTGCTAGACACTTTAAAACTTGTATGAGGTAAACATTCTATCCAACATGTTTTCTTTTTTTTGTCTCTAGGAAATCTATAAAGTTTTTAAAATGTTTTTAAAATCGTTTGATTTTTTCATTGATAAATAACTCGTAGAACAGAAATAAACAAATTTTTCATAAACATAAACAAATTTCACCATCTTAATAATAGACTAAATAACAAAAAGTATTAGCAAACCAACAGACTGTGCTATTTAATTTAGTCTTTATAATTAAAAAATTATTGTTTTTTTTTAATGATTGCTATCCACTTCATTAAAAAAGTTTTATAAACGGAGAGTGGATATTTAACAGAACTTTTTTTTGCTACAGGTTCTCCCTTGATGTCTTGTAGCCATTATGCAATACCTCCTTGTTAATAAAGATTGCAGCTAAATAACTTAAATATATAATAAATTATCGGAGGTATGCATAGAGTCATTTCAAAACATGAAAAACTGACTTTAACTACAGTTGCTACAGTCAATTTGCCATTTTATTCAACTCCCAGTCTAGTTTTAGTAGATACATTGCAAAATGTTTGACATTCTTTCAAATATTTATTGAGAAGTTGAAAAGTTGGGTTTTTCAGTGAAGCATTTCATTTCTTCAAATGAAATATTTCCGTAACATAGTCAATTTGGCTCAGTTACAATTTTTAAAAATATTTGAAGCGCCTCATTTTGACTACTTGTAACCTCCATAACTTGTTTAAGTTATTTTTTTCATTAGCATATATATTATATGTTTATTATATGTGTATAAATAGCAAAATAGACTTGTTAAAATTTCTAATTGTAAAAAAAAAATTTCTCATATTATAAAGAGATCATACATGATCATTCCATATACCAACCGCAAAATTAACTTATGCTAAAGACATTTACACTTACAGATGTTTGTACATAATGCTATCTAAACAGAACTTTTACATTTGCGTAATTTTAAATGACATGTATTGTTACTACACATATATTTACATAACTGCATATAAATTTCCTATACTTCCTTGTATAAACATGCTGAGAGACTCTTTTTTGTTATTACTTCAGTTTTAATGGTCATAAGTAGGCACTATTACTAATATTACTACTACAACTAGTATTAAGTTCAGCATTCTTATAAAAAGAAAATGTGTGGATAAAACGTTTTAAAAAAGATGGTTGTCTGTTTAAAACTCCTACTGTAATTTAAAGTCTTAGTAATTAAAAAAAAAAACTCTACAAAGAGTTTCTTAAAAGAAACTCTTTGTAGAGTGTTATAGTAATTGCTTGTTTTTTGGTATTAGTTATTTTGTTAGTGGAATACTTGCTATTGTTTCATGCTAATTATTAAGGCTACGCATTATGGAAGCTTACCAGAATTTAAAGAAATTATCAACAAAGGTCAATTCTATTCAGCTTATGTGGAAATTATTCAAATGTTATATATATAAATTATTTAAATGTTTCCTAGGAGCTGGAAAAACAAATGATAAATCCAAATCATATAATTTAATGAGCAACCACAAAAAGTCAACTCAAATTCAATTGCTGAATGTTTTTAATTCAATAGAAGAAATAAAAACAGTAATGAGTCAGCGGCAACACTTATTGCACTTAGCATGTCAATCATATACTCAGCATCAAGAATTTTCCAACAAGAAATTGAAAAATTGATTAGCAATTTATCATTTACAAAATTTGAGTTGATGAATTTTTTTTATTTATTTATTTTACTTCACCTCCTCAAGGCCGAGAAGGCCACTACAAACGAGGAGGCTACTTATTTTGTGGCTATAACCCTCTCTCAACTCTATAACTCCGAAACACAAATCTTGACGAACAAGGTCGCTGCGCGGAGAAACGAGTTGAGCGCGGTACTACCAGGGACGTGGTGGGGATCGAACTCGGAACCACTCGTTTATGAAGCGAGCGCTCTACCACTACACCACTACCGCATTAATTATAAGTGTTAAAAAAAAAAGATTTTTTACTTTAGCGACTGCTCACAATGGAAATACCAATTAAATGAGCAGGTTGCCAATAAATGTAACCAATTACCGGTCGCAGAGAGTTTAATATTTTTATGAATCTATCCAATGCTCCAATTTCAGCCAAAGATGTAGGAATTTATCCTACATGAGATCAATTTATAAGTTGGGTTATAGATGGTGTTTTAAATGGAGTACAGTTTCTTAATGAAACAGGTTTCAGACTGCAACAAAGAAAATCGAATTAGGAGTTGAGGAGGGAGTTTTACTGTGGAGGAATCGAGTGATGTCAATTCTCAGTATTGTATTAGAAGAGTTACTCTGTGCTCATCTGGGGATGGTATGCATGAAAGTGTTAACAATGAGTTATATGACTCAGCATGGACAAGACAATTGAAGAAGCTGTATGCAGACATCAACATTGTGAAATGCATCAAAGATACCCAGAAAGTGCATTAATTACTATAAATTATTATAATATTTCCACCATTGGGAGTATCCATACAAACCATGGAGTTAAAAACACTTTGATTAATTCAATTAATGGTCCATTCCTTGGACGCATGTTCTTGATTGTTTGTAACGCTTCAAAATGAATTGATGCAGTGATCATGAAAAATGCAAAATCGGAAAATGCAATCCAATGGTTGAGAATTGTTTTAACTGTTCATAATTACCCCAAGGTAACTGTTAGCGACAATGGACCTGCTTTCAACAAGCTGATTTTTTCAAAAAAATTTATAAAGCATATATTTACTGTCCCATACTACTCTTCCTTAAATGGCCAAGCCAATGAAACTGTATAAACATTTAAAGAGGCTTTGAAAAAAAAAACCAAAAATGACTCAACCAGGCATTTTTGTTTTCATATCAAATCACTTTGCAGTCAACCATTATATTGTCGACAGCAGAGCTCTTACAAAAGAGAAAACTATCCACTGCACTTTAAAATATGAAACCTGACCATAGAAGCAAGGTTGAAGAAAAAAAAGTAGAGATGGAAAAGTAGAACAGGCAGTTTAAGAATGGAGACAAGGTCTTCAAAAAATTTTTGGAAGCGGTCCAAAGTGGATCCCAGGATGAATTGTTAAACAAAATGGAAAAGTTAGTTTTGAAAATTGAACAGAACAGTCGATTTTTCAACGCCTTGTGGATCAGATTAGATCACAGTTTTCCAATATATATATTTTCAGATTAAGACATGGTTTTCCAATTTCATTAAATCCTAGTCTAGCAATCACTACATCTAAATGTCTTAATTTCTCAGAAACAGTTTTATCACTAAACAATATACCGCTAACTCAGATTCTGCCACTCTAAAACACTTCTAATTTGACAGAAATTCTGTTCACAATAGAACTGATGGAGTCACTAGATGCAGCTCAAAGTCATGCAAATATACTACTATCAGCAAACCACCTCTTAAAATTGAATAAAATATTTCATCAACTGATACCCGTACATTAACACAAATTTGACAAGTGCCAATAAGATTCCTTGATAATGAATTAGGAACTTAAGTATGGAGATATTTTTTTTGCAACCATTTTAAATAAAAAGGCTTTTTTGAAAAATAGAATATGTTATCATCAGTGGTTACCACTCATGACTAATATACAGAATAAGATGTGAATAAAATGTGTTAAAAAAGATGTCTGTTTAAAACTCTTTTTTTTTTTTAACATCCACTTCCAACAAGGCTACAAGCAACCACTATTAGAGTTGGAAGTTACTGGAGGAGAAAAGATAACATTTATTTTAGTTAATTGTTGCATTATTGATATAATGCAAGATAACAATTACCAGAAGGCTTGAAAGATTGCAAATTATAACAAGGGAGAAAATTCCAAAGAACTGATGTTCAAGGAAAAAACTAGACGAATAAGAATTTTTGGAGCAATTAAGAACATTAGTGAATTTAGATTTGGAGTACTTAGTGACGACAGTTTTTTGTGTTTTTATAGCTTTTGATACTTAAATCATTTTTTAAATTGGTTAAACACAGATAGTACTCAGTACACTATATAAATGTACAAGCAATTATATAGTGTACTGAGTATTTGCCTTATTACTATTAATAAACCTTAAACCATTAAAGAGGCTCCAAATGCGGCCTTGACAATGCACACTAAAAGTACAAACAGAGATACCATCCATGCTCAACATGGCATTGTTAGTAATCTTATATTGTTAGTAATCAGTCCTCAGGACCATAAAACTAAGTTTTAAAGCTGTACCCTCATTAGGAGATAATAGAATGAGTTGCTCAGTCATAAAAACAGAAACACAAGCAAAACCCATGTAATGAGTCAAGGAGATCCAGCATTCAACATCCTGAACTGGAAGCAACGTATTATAAATACATCTATGCCAGCCTAACAGATGATTATTACAATTTTAAGTCTTAGTATTTAACAAGAAACCTTTTTTTAACTAGTAGAGCTTTATTTTATGTTTATATTCCCATACAAACAGAGTATAATTAATCTTGGATTTTAATTATATTTTTAATTACTTGCTTTAAATGCTCAAAATCTATTTTCCTTTCTCTGCAGGTTCTGGGTTGATGTTACAGTATAAAGTCACTGTTACAAAATCATTGAAACCAATGCTTTGCTGTTGCCTCAGAAATCAAAACCTAACCTATTAAATTACATATATTTTGAGCAGCTTCAGTTGCTGAGTGGCTCAACTGAAACTTATAAACAGACTGTATTATATACGGATTTAACATCTTATCAGTTGCAATGCAGAACGTTCGATCAACCTGATTGGCCATTTCATGACCTATATACAGTTTAATCATGGAAACTTTTAAAAGCTTTCAGAATTTTTAAGAAATTTTGAGAAAAATAGCTCATTACTTTTTAGCCAACTCAATAATAGGCTCTTTCTTATTTATTTGGCACCTAAGAGTATTTGTTTTAAAAAAAAAACTACTAATACCTGTGCTCCAGCATGTCCACATACTCTTTTTTTCTTCGTCTACTTTCTTGAGCAGATATCTACATTAAAATATTGTTAATTTAATTTTACTGAAATTGCAGAGGAAGATTTTTAGTATAATGACATATAGATCATATTACACAAAACAACAATAAATTATGAGCACTAAAAAATAAAATTTCAGACTAAAAAATGTCACTTTCTGTAACAAAAAACATTGTTAGGATTTTGAAGCTTTTTATGTTTAAAATAAAATTTTATCTGTGTTATTAGCTTAAAAAATCTTTCATATTCAATGATCCATTAAAAATTAAATATTTAGATACACATGATTTCTTAAATTTTTTTTAATGCAGTGAATTATAGTGAAGTTCAGTGTTTAAAATTAGAAAATGTAGAAGTTACATGTTCTACTTTTTATAAATTCTTTTTATTACAGAAGAATTTTTAATAAGATAATTCTGTAGTAATTACTGATAGCTAAAAATTTCTCCAGACATTTTAATTGTTTTTCTCTCACTTTGAAGTACCAAAACAGGTGATCAACCTTGAGACCTAAAGATTTAATCAACTTCGCAAAATTAAAAATGGACTATTTTTAATGCACTACTAAACAAGTCAATGTTATAAATGAAAATTTTTGATATTTGAAATTGAAATATTAGAAACTATTACACAATAAGTAAATTATGCAAACAATCTGAAATAAAAAAATAACTTAAAATTTAAAGACCATTAGACTTTAAGACAATATTCAAATATTTTTATACAAATATAAAGATAAAAGGAATAAAATATTTTATATCTAAAAGTTTGAGATTCAAATCCATTTTATGCCTATGGCAGTACAATTCTCAATCTGTTTCTCTGTACCATGGTCTTGTTAAAGGTTTATGTTTTAAAGTTTTGGACTGAGGAAGAGTTGCAAATAAAAACAAAAAATTTTAAGTTGAATTTTTACAGAGAAGTCTTCTTTAGTGAAAATACAACTTTTACAGTTTCTGCGTGCAAATACTTGCATATGTAAACTTTCCTTCATTACTAGTTGTTTAATAGTGCCAAACATGTCATTCAACAGATACCTTATGATCATGATACCTGACACGATTTAGACAATTTTAAAAGGAGAACATCCATATATATCTGTACTATACAAATACTGAAATGATTAGATCTTATCATTTATCAATGATTTTGCTAATACTAAAGAAATATTTTCGATATTTTTTTTCAAGTTTTGGAAAAAGAAAAAAGAAAATGCAAAATATAAAAAAACAAAGAATAAATAAAAAAACAAACATTTTTGCTTAGTTTCAAGGAGGCAATAATTTTTTCTTCTCTTTTTTTTTTTTTTTTTTTTACACCTTAAACCCTATACTCCAGAATAATATTGACAAACAAGTTTGCTACCTAGGAAAAAAAATTGAGTGTGATACTTGCAGGGTAATTTTAAACTCTGTTTAAAGTTACCCTGCAAGTTTACATGTTGATTTTAAACTCTGTACCTCTCACTTATGAAACAAGCAATCTATTACTATACCACTTGCATATTAAAAAAAAATAGTTATATGTTGAAAGTAAATTTAAAAAAGAAAAAAAGAAATCTTGATTACGATTTTTATTATCATGACCATCTTATAAATCTTTTTTATCTTTATTACCTTATTTTTCATTCTTCTTCTAATTTTCTTTAGTTCCAAGTCATCATCCTAAAATTAATTTTTCAATTTAAAAAAATAACGCAAAAAGAATTAAAAACATTTAAAGGCTTTTAATATATGTATATAAATTATATTAATATAAACAATATTATTTATTATATACACAATACAATTTGTTGGAACATATTACTGGAATAAGTATATTGCTAAATATATATATATATATATATATATATATATATATATATATATATATATATATATATATATATATATATATATATATATATATATATATATATTTATATTTATTCGGAGTATATGAATGGAATATATTACTGGAATAAATTATTCAAGTAAAATGTTACAATAAATTGTTTCAGTAATATATTTCGCAATCACAAGGATAGGTCAGAATTAGGATCATTTTGATCACCTAGTCTCAGGCATTGTGTATTCTAATACAACCTGCCTTATGTTCTGCTACCTTGTAGGATTTGCTTTTCTATACTTAGCCAAGGAGAAGTTACACTTTTATACATGCAAATTATGATGCTGACACAATGATATTTAAAATAACCTACCCAGGAAAAAATTCTATTGATTGTCTATAAACATTTGAAACATATGATTTATAGAAAATCTAATGAAATTTCTAAAGAAACTCTATTAATTTCTATAAGAGTTGCTGCAGAAAACACTCTTTTTATACAATGGCGTAGCAAAGGTTCATAACGCCCGAGTCCAAAAATAAATATTGCGCCCATGAATTTTAACTTTAAAGAATTTTATTTTTTTGCTATCTTTTTTTTCTGTATTGCATGGCATCATAAAAAAAGCAAGGATTGACATAAGACTTAAAAACGGTTGACGTAAGACTTGAAAAGTTGAAGGATGTAGAGTTAGGAAAACATGAAGATAAGAGAGAGCTAAAAAGGGTTCAAGTGCGGGAAAAAAAATAAATGAAAAAAAGTTTTTAAAGCAATGTTGAATGATGAGTCAATTGACTCATCATTCAACAAAGTCTTGATCAAGCAAGAATGAGTTTTAGTTGATGGAAATAGAGATGATAGCTTCTTTGACAAGCAATTATGATAGTATTTGTAGAAAAGAAAATGAGATGCAATTTTATGATGATGACAAAGAGGCTCATGTTTAGTAGATAGAGCGGGTCCAACTACGTTTACAATGCGTTTTTGGACCTTGACTAGAAAAGAAAGAGCATCATTAGAAGAACCAGCCCAAATATGATAACAGTATTCCATACAGTGGCAAATAAGAGATTTGTAGAGGTAGAGAATGGAATCAGCAGTAAAAAATGGCAAGCACGATAAAGAGAGGCAAACTTACCGGATGCTAATTTAGCAATCGATTGTGTATATGATTTCTATGAAAGGTCAGTAGTATACAATAATCCAAGAAGACGTATACAAGAGGACTCAGTAAGAGGATTACTATTTATTAATATAGGAATGTCAACAATATTAAGTCAGTTGTTTGCAGTAAATAACTGACTTTTGTTGGAGTTTATATTGGAAATTATATCAGATTCAACAATGGCTGCTTGTTCTAACAGGTCGAATAGTATAAAGTTGAGTAAACAGCAAAAAGAGCTACTTTAGATGTAAGGTTGTTGGAAAAATCATTAATGTAGAAAAGAAACAAAACAGGGCCAAGGATAGAACCTTAAGGTACTCAAAAAAACTGGAAATAAAGAGTGTTGAACTTTAGTAAAGCGCTTAGAAGGAAATGGTTTGATAATCTCTAAAGTTTTCCCAAGTACATCATATAAAATAAGGTTATTAAGAAGACCAGCATGCCAAACTTTGTCTAAAGTCTTAGATACGTCAAGAGCAATAGCCCTAGCTTCTCCACCACCAACTATGCACGATAAAATCTTTCAGTCGCTGCAGGTAGCAAGTTAGCCGTAGAGCGATAGGATTAAAAACCTATTGATTGTCTGACAGTAAGTTATTTGATTCAAGATAGAATGTGAGGAATTTGTTGATCAAAATCTCATAGATTTTGCTAATAACAGCAAGAAGACTGATAGGACAATAATTAGCGGAGTCAGAATGTTCTCCGGAGTTTAATTGAGATATGAATTTAGCAACAAAAGCTGGAGTGATTTGAATGTCTAACAATGGGTTAACACGTTTATATGGAGTAGATGGAAGAGAATGGAAATAAAATTCAAGAGTTAAATTTGAAGAAAAGTTCTTTGCAAATATTTCTGCCGTTGGTAGAGATAATAAAATCATTCCAATGAATGAGAGATGGAATATTAGACCTTTCTTTATTAATGACGCTGTTAAAGGTTTTCCAAAATTCTGTAGAGCTTCTGTTAACTTCTGAGATAAGATGCGAGGTTTAGTGATCTGGCAATAATGAAGCTTAGCATCAGACAGCACCATTTTACATCAATTTCTTGCTATAATAAATAGCGGTTTGTTCTGAAGAGAGTTGTTATTTTGAAAAAAATGGTTACGATTAGATATAGCAGCTGCTCAAGAGGGTGAAAACCGTGGAGTTGAATGAGACTTGACTTGGAACCGACAATAAGGAATAAAATCTTCAATATCTGCCTGAATTTAGGAGATTATGTAGGTGGTGCATTTTTCAGCTGAGAGAGAATATACATCAGTCTAAAGACTATCACAAAGAAATCTTGAAAAGAATAACAGTCAGCTTAATGGTAGTAATGTGATAATAGGGTGAGTCCAAAAATGAAGTACGAGATAAAAGACTTAAAGAGGTCATTGCATGGTCAGAAGCACCTAAGGAAGGAAGGAAGAAAATGAACACAAACTAGGATTAGAGACAAGTCATAAATCAAGGAGTGAAACTAAATTATTAGGGTTGTTAGGAGAACAAGTCACAAAGTTAACTATCTGAGTAAGAGATTGAGAAATCCAGAAGTTATAGGCTTTAGTGTCAGGAGGGTTAGTGGTGTTAGAGCCTAGCCATTTAGTGTTATTAGCATTAAAGTCACCAATAACAACAATATTGGCAGAGGAGTAATGAGAAAAGGCATGGTCAATTTGATAAGAAATTACATTTAAAAGAGTGTAGTCTTCGGAGGAAGGAGACCCATAAACAACAAAGAAAAAGATGATAGAGTGAAGAGATGCTTAGCGGAAGCGCATAAAAGAATGGTCAAAAGTTTAGAATCTGATTTCACGACAAATAGATGAATTGATGCGTATGCAAGCCAAGCATGTGACTATTGGAATCTTTGCGAATTAAAGGATACTATCCATCAACATTGAGATCAGAAAAAGTCGCAGAATTTAAATTGGTCTCATTAAGAGCATGCAAGTATAGTGAATTTTGCAAGAGGTAAGATTCGACTGATGGAAAATTTTAAAGTTAAGTTCCGTTTCAATCCGTTAAAATTGGTTAAAAGGTTAAATTCTCTAATTTTTAATTAAATATTAAGTAAATAAAATTTATAACGCAGTAAATGTTTGTTTATCATTGCCGTATTGCTAGTTGTCATATTTTATTTTATTTTTATTGCAAAGATGTGGTTGTACAGAAGGCATTTGATATTGTGGATTATGGAACTTTGTTATTAAAGTTACATCATTATGGCATCAGAGGAGTTGCTCACCTGTGGTTTAAGTCATATCTCTTGAAACGATCTTTAATTGTTACTCTTCAAATACCAAATCCTTATCAGTAGGTGTTCCCCAAGGTTTCATTCTTGGTTTTCCAAGGTTTCATTCTTGGCCCTCTCCTTTTTTTTTATTTACATTAATGGCCTAAACACATGCACTAAGTTTTCAAAATCATATCATTTTGCTGATGACACTGATATCCTAATAACTGAAAAATCACTTAAAAAAATAAATCAACACCTTAAATAGACCAATCCTGTTTTGTTCAATGGTTAAGATCCAATAAAATATCCTTAAATGCTGAAAAAACTGAAATATTTCTATATTTAAGCCACACTCTGTACAACTTCATTAAAAATTTCAATCCAATAAATCATGGAATTTTCTTCCCTATGAAATCAAAACAACGTATCTAAAAAATGGAAGTTGAGCTCTCTTCATCAACAAGTCAAGAAATTTATGCAGGATAAAAACAATGATTAAAGTTTCTGCTCTGTTATTTACCTCTATAATTATTTTTCATGTCTTTTTGGCCTTGACTTTTATAATTGTAAAATTTAAGTTGTTTTTTCCTTTTTTTTTAAATAACATTGCTGTTGTCGATGTTCTTGTTACTGTATTGATATCGTTCTATATAAGTGCTGTTTTTCTTATTATTTTTAGTGCTATTGTTTTTTTGTTTTTTGTTTTTTTACCATAATAATAATAATATTACTCTTATTATTATTATTATTTATTACTAATACTAGTAAAATATTTTATATTTTGACAAATTTACTGTTAATATTTGTAGGTCGGAACGTTTTAATCAGTTACATAACTGTTTGGACTGACCCTAGCTTTGTATTTACTTTATAAAGTGAAAATAAATGATTGATGGTAAAATAGCCTCGTCTTAAATGGTTGCTTTGTTACAAAAAAAAAAAAAAGTTACAATTCGCAACGTTACGTTTCAATTGTTTGGTCTTTGTTTGTTTCTTTAACTTTAAAAAGTAGAAAAAAACAATTGAAACGTAATGTTGCGAATTGAAACTTTTTTTTCACGACAAAGTAATCAATTGAGACAAAGCTATTTTACAGTCAATTATCAATCTATCATTTATTCGGAACCGTGGTCAGGTTCCCCAACACCCTTCAATAGGAGAGGCCCAGCAATTTTAAGGGGGCCCATTTGGAAATTTAGGGATTCTTTCGCAAGTTTATGGAGCAATTTTTTTTTAGTAACACCTAGTGGAAAAATTTTCAAGATGTTGGGGCCCTAATGGCAGATTTTTTTTTTTTTGGGGGGGGGGGGCTTTGACCCACTAGCCTTGGTACTGCATTTATTTTGACTTAACACTTTAAAAATTCACAAAACTCAAAAACTTGTTGGTTAGTTTTTTTAAAAAGACTTTTTTTTTTAATTACAATAGTTAATAAATAATATTG